ACCGCCCCATCATCACTGCATCTGCCAGCCCCGACCGCCAACACCAGAATCGCCCCACAGCTGCACCACCTCCGTCAGCCCCCACCTCCATCGCACAATCTCTATGAGAAAGAGAGAAAACGGAGAGGAGAAAGATGAGAAAAAGAAGATTAAACAGAGAATCCACAAATCTAGCATAGATCTACCGTAGATCCACCGCAGCCTTAGCTCTCGCCGCCGCCATCGGGTCCACCATCGCCGCTAGACCATAGATCTAGAACAGATCTAGGAGGGGGAAGAAAAAAAGAAGCAGGTGTAGGAGGACATGGAGAAAGAAGGTTGAGGAGGAGAAAAAGAAAAAGAGAAGAAGAGGAGGAGAAAAAGAAAAAGAGAAGAAGAGGAGGAGAAAAAGAAAAAGAGAAGAAGAGGAGGAGAAAAAGAAGATCGGGGAGGAGGGGGAAGAACGAGTGGGAGAGGGAAACAGATGAATCAGTTGATGTGGGTGGCGGAGAAAATGGGTAACGAAAGAAGAAAAGAGATTTAATGGGAGGGGTAGTTTAGGAAAAAATGTTATAAAAAGTAGAATGGGAACATCATTTGCGGACGGAAAAAAACGTACAATGGGAACATCATTTCCGGACGGAGGGAGTATTATTTATTATCAAATATTATTTACATCTTAGCTTTCTTCTAGCACATATTATGTTTAGACAGACCATGGTGTCCATAACCATTTAATGCCTCATGTGATCATACTCCTTTCTCTTTAAGCGTCAAACTTTTCATCATCGAGAATTCTCACTTCTTCTCACCACGTGGTCCACAAACTTTTTTATTACAACAGTCATAGCCAATGTAGGAATTTGGTTCATCATCGAGAATTCTCATATCTACTGTAACCCAAACTCCTTTGCCCTAAATTTGGAGTGTGAAATTTAAAACTTAATCCACACGAGAAAATATAATGCATATCTAATTTCAGTCATTCGATGCTCAACCATGGTGCATACCTGGGTATTCACTTGGCAAACCTCAGAAAGTTTTAACTTTGGGCAGTGCAATTAGAGCATCTTTATATGCCTTAAGGCCAATGACCCTCTTGAAAAGGTCTATGCTGTCATCTCGCCTATTAAAGAGTTATTATAAGTATTACATTCAAATGAATGTGATTTCTACTATTTATTCTTAACATAAGAGTATGTTCATACCATTTCTTAAGGGATTCAAATGTTGTATGAGCAGGGTCCACTTCAAACATTGCATCAAATCGAGAAGAGAGAAAAACACCTGTTAGAAATCCACATCAACTTATTGTCGGTTAATTCAATAATTCTTTTTCTATGTATATAAACTTTGCTAAATAATATATTACCATTAAAGGCAATAAAATTAACCCTTTTTACAATAATTATTTGGAAATGCCTAGTTTCTAAGAGGGACGTGATTTCCTTCCCTTGGTTCGTTGCAAACTCTTCCCACAGTGTAAGCAGCATAAGCTTCATTGTATTCAACCAATCATTCAAAATGTTATTTCTTTGTATCTTTAAATATTTTTTCATGCGGATTACTTACTCCTCATTAAAAATGGTGAAATCATGTGCTATTTTTTCCTGTGAATCCAATTCCAATACACACATGAAACTGTGCATACGTTATTATCAAAAAGAAAGTAAATTAAAGGCTTTAAATGAGTACGCATTTAAGGGGGTATTAATTCATAAGGAGGAAGATCAGTTCTGGCGCAAGATTGGATGGCGAGCAACGACGTAATGCCAAGAATGGAAATATTTAACGGTGTACCAGCTCCAATGCACAAAGTACAACTTTTATGGATGGAAAAGGTTTTTTTATTATTTACTTTAAACCTTCAATTCGCAATTCTTAGGTTTTTTTATTATTTACTTTAAATCCTAAATTATGCTATTATTGATTTGTATATTTTTGAATTAGTTCAATATTTGATGCTTTATCATAATTTATTATAATGTTTTTTCTTTGAAACTATTTTAATGTATTTTCTTATATTAATAGAATATGTGATGGTATATTGTTTATATATTATTTTACTTGTTTGATGCTAATCGGAACATACATTGTATATTATTTTTTTGATTGATGCCACATGATTTGAGATGCTTATATGTAGAAATAACATATATCAATGACGAAGAGACCTGGAAGATATTAAAAAGCAGAGTAGATTAGTCCTTTTCCTTGTGTGAAATTTTAGAAATTTCCTAAAATGACAAATAATTTGGGACAAGAAGGATTAAAAGGGTGGAATCTTTGCCAAATTATAAAAAGAGTGCATGTGTGTGGCTTTATATCTTTTACAAGAATATAATGATATATGGTACATGAATCTCACCTCCCGCAGCTGCTGCACAGACTCATAAATGCCAATGCCTTCTTCGGTACACATATGACTATTGCATAGTAATCTGCAGTTACTTGGCCATTCCGTTTGCAAAATACTGAACTTACTGCGGGCCCCTACATTGATTTATATGAATAGGGCATGCCTAAGTTAGTCAGGAATTGAGTAGCGAATAGTTTATGGAGTGTGATTACTATCCCTCTGTCAAAGGGTAGTAAGATAATTTTCTGCTCTATTAAACTCTCCAGTAACACTCTTAGTCTGTACCTGCAACCCTGATAAGGAATTTCGGCTCAATACGCGCTCAGCTACTTCCTCTGCAGAGTTTCCCCTCATGTTGGAATGTACCTGCCATGAAATTAATCACGAACCAATTGTTTTTGAAACAAGTGAAATGTTGGGAGGAGATTTTACACACTGTGAATTGACCCAAAGCACACAAATGAGCCTCTAGCCTTTCAAGCATTTCACGTGTTATATCTAGCACATCCTTACGTGTCAATGATTTCCTGCTAGCAACAAGGACCGCCTGTGCAGAATTATTAATCATAATATTTTATGTCCATCAGGTGTTGTACTAATATGTCATAATGAGGGTATGTGACTATGCAAACTTTGAAACTCTACATCCCTTGAAAATGTGCCTGCCTGTCAATATGAGCCGAAAACATGTTTTAAAATGATACTATTAATATTTTATAACATAATACAGTGCAATGTCCCTTTGACTGCATTCTTTCCTCAAACAAAATGACACTTAATATTTTATAACGATTGTTCTAGTGTTTTAAAATGGGGGCAAAAATCTTTGGAAAGTAATGAGGTCAAAGGGCCATTGCACTATATAATGTATTATGTATGCTTGAAGGGTTTTGCAAATGATAGTCAGGAACATTTGTTACCCAAACGTGATGGCCTATGAATATCTATTTCTGACATTCACACATGAAATATTATCAATAGTGTATACATATTTTTCAAAACCTTTTCTCTTCCCCAGTAAATTTAGTCTCAATCAATAACTTTTTGTGTAATAAACACTCCACATTGGCAATAGCAGAACTGCAGAACGCGAAAACCCATTAGCATTAGAGGCTTAAAAATTACCTGACTTTGCGAGATGACTCCACCCGCAATCTCTTTTAGATTGTTCTCTCTCGAAGTTGTTCCACTGCCCACAAGGTCTACAATTGCATCGGCTATCCCCATCTATATTAGGAAGAAGTGAGGAAATGTTAACAGCAACAACAACCTACCCAGTGTTGTCCCATACATTAGGGAACCATGATAGATCTTAAAAAAACTTTTACATACTCAAAAGAAATTGAAAGTGCGATTGTATTTGAAGAATTGAAGATCACCAAAAGAAATGCTGGAAAAGAACAAATGTGATAAAACTTCTAAGAGCAAACCATAACATCTAAAATAGAACGACATATTTCTTTGATGCAACAAATATAGGAAAAACAAACATGACTCTCAGGTGAGTCATAGCATCAAGAGCAGTAATCGATTTGTGAAAAAGAGAAGAAGTATTTCATTTATATATGTAGTACAATACAAACAGTCAATCTTAATAAGACGGGACTTAAGAAAACTAACAGTCAATCTCAATAAGACGGGACTTCAGAAAACTGAATCTGTTTAAAATAGGTAAATTTGGTCTTACTCATAGTTACAGAATTCGTACACCCAGCCGCGATTTACGAATTGGTACGAATCGTACCCAATCGCAATTCGCCGGCGATCCGATCGCCATCGGTACGGCGATCCAAATCGCCATGGTACGGCGCTCCAATTTGCAAAGGTACGCCGATCCAGATGCCCTCAAACGTCGCACCAAGCCGGAGAAGACGCAGTGCCGATCGCCGGGTCCAGCGATCCAAATCGTAATTTCGTCACTTACGGGTTCAATTCGCGATTAGAGATTGCACTTCCCCAAAGTGTCGTGCGAATCGTTTCCCAGACTCATTGCACTTCCCCAAAGTCTCGATTGTTCTGACTTCTCTTCGTAAGTGTTTCCTGTTTTCTTCGAAGTGCGATTGCACTTCTTCGTAAGTGTTTCCTGTTTCCTGTTCTGACCTCTCACCCTCTCAACTCTCAAGTCTCACCACACCCCAACTTAAAGTCCTCAATATTTTTGTCTACTTATGTTTTGACTTTTGGTATGCCGAACCAAATACATGGTACACCGTACCGCTTCGTACCACTTCGTACCGAAATGAACCTACCCCCCTTCGTACCGAATTCGTTACCTCTAGCGAATTTCGTACCCGTACCGCGTACCCGTACCGAAACGTACCGCGATTTATGTGACAAGACTCTTACTGCTGGAGCAGCCTTCGGTGCTCCATCTGCAGTTGAAAAGGTAACATGATTTAGTCCTTTTACATTCGTAAACTTGGGCCCCATATGTGAAAGAAATGGAGGATGTTAAGGGAAAAATATCATCAAACTTAAAAATAATAATTGTGACCACAATAATATATATACTCCGTATCTGGGAAAAAGTAGATAAATATGTCACATTGCAGTACACCATGCATATGTGAAATCCGTAGCTACTATCAAGGGTCTCTCAGGTGTTCAATGTGGCATTTCTGCTAGCTCCTTCAATGAGTTCACATTCTCGAAAATTCCATACTTTGGTATCTGCAGATACGCACATGTATTCCCAGTCGCACGTCATTATTATTGGAAGAATACTAATGGTGATAGGAATGCACCTAACATGACACAATTTGAATGTTTTGCTATAAAGAGCTCATTTTTACTCACTGTTTGAGATAATAGACAATTTCCATATTCTCGAGGATCATGAACTATAATGAGATCTTCATTCCCCTTCCAAGAAGATGTCAAACAGTCTGCAAAAATCATAATGGTTCTACTAAATAACAGAGCATGAAGTCGAATTGGCTCAAAAAGAAATCATAAACATCAGTTTGCTGTCCATTCACCTGGACAAATGTATTTATAGTGGGGAGATGGTGATGGGACATTGCATTTAGTCGGCATCATAGCAGCATTTGTTATTTTATATATTTTATGGATATCCAATACTCGATTAACTTGATCAATGCCTCCACTATTCACCATAGTGAGAACCTTCGTGCCCTATTATTTTAAAATAAATAAATCAAATTAACATAATCAAAAGCCTGGTTTTGTAATATTCTATGTTTAGTTCATTCATGATATAAAAACACTTACTTCATGATCTTGCAATACATAAGGTCTATACTTATTTGGACTGGACCTCGAGTCTCTAATGTTCCGCTTCTCAACAACTCTAACTTTGCATGTCCATTCACCTTTGTTATCTTTAATATGGCTAATCATTTGCACTGTTGTCATCACTGTAATTTTATTTTAAAATAAACGGTATATTAACGCAAGAAGACATTCTTTGATAAAATTCATTTATTCAAATTCAGTAAAACAAATCCCCCATTTGTAGTCAACACCACATGGGACCGAACTGCTTTGGATTGGAACCATATTATTTTAAAAAAGTGTATTAAACACCTCATTTTTAGTAAAAAACACTCTTGGTCAAGTCAGACCGTGATGAGAGTCATGCTTTGTTCACTAAAAAAACTGAGTGCGAAGTCCGATCCCGCTCACTTAACTTTGTATTTGAATTTTAATTAGTATAATTTTAATGAATAAACATTTATAAATTTGTCTGATCCTACAAGATACCTTTCTACTTACTTTTCATAATGAGGGTGATGAAAACCCCTCACAAATAGAACAAAACAAATTTTCAAAGCAATAAATATTTAGAACTGGATCAAGTCTATGCAAAAAGCATGTAAGATAGAAGTTCAAGGTATTGTATGCTCTATATCTTCACACCTAAAAAATGAGTTACACAATTGCCTATGGTAATTGTTATCTGAGACTGTAGGAATATACATAAACAATCATCCAGATGTATTTATAGTGGGCAATAGCAGAACTGCAGAACGCGAAAACCGATTAGCATTAGAGGCTGAAAAATTACCTGACTTTGCGAGATGACTCCACCCGCAATCTCTTTTAGATTGTTCTCTCTCGAAGTTGTTCCACTGCCCACAAGGTCTACAATTGCATCGGCTATCCCCCATCTATATTAGGAAGAAGAGAGGAAATGTTAACAGCAACAACAACCTACCCAGTGTTGTCCCATACATTAGGGAACCATGATAGATCTTAAAAAAACTTTTACATACTCAAAAGAAATTGAAAGTGCGATTGTATTTGAAGAATTGAAGATCACCAAAAGAAATGCTGGAAAAGAACAAATGTGATAAAACTTCTAAGAGCAAACCATAACATCTAAAATAGAACGACATATTTCTTTGATGCAACAAATATAGGAAAAACAAACATGACTCTCAGGTGAGTCATAGCATCAAGAGCAGTAATCGATTTGTGAAAAAGAGAAGAAGTATTTCATTTATATACGTAGTACAATACAAACAGTCAATCTTAATAAGACGGGACTTAAGAAAACTAACAGTCAATCTCAATAAGACGGTACTTCAGAAAACTGAATCTGTTTAAAATAGGTAAATTTGGTCTTACTGCTGGAGCAGCCTTCGGTGCTCCATCTGCAGTTGAAAAGGTAACATGATTTAGTCCTTTTACATTCGTAAACTTGGGCCCCATATGTGAA